TATCTTTTTAATTTATTCAATAAATGTTCAATATGATTTAAATTAGGATTTTTGAGCAAGTCAAAGAAAAATATTTATATTAATCTTATTTATTTAATTTTTTATTAATTTTGTTACATATATAGTGTTACTAAAAATTTTTAAATTTTTTATTAACTTTAGTTATATTTTATTAAATATTATTATAATTAATTATAATTTATTATTTTTACATATATTTTTTATATTAGCAAAATATATTTATTTAAATAATTCTCAAAATATCTATAGTATTTCAAATGATACTATTAATTTGAAATATTATAGTATGAAATATATGTTGTAAAGCTTCTTTGTAATTCTAAGTAATTATTTGTGAAAAGATTAAAGAAACATTATTTATTAAGGGTTTAAAAGTAATTGTTATAGTTAAAGATGAATCTCTAAATTATTTAATATATAAAATTTTGTAGATTAATTATATCTCTTTTGAAGGGATATAATTATTTATTATTATTTTAATAGAAACATAATTCAAAAAATATTTGGATCAAGTGATTTAAATTATAAAAATCTTTATAAGTAGTTTTTTTTTTGATCTTATATTTAAAAAAAAAAACTTTTTTAATAGTAAGAGATATTTAAATTATATTCTTGCCTTTAATTTAAGAACCTATTTTTAGTTATAATATTATTTTGAATAATTTTGCTTTTTGTCTTATAAAAAAAATTTTTCTTTAATGATTATTTTAAATATAACAAAATAATTTTTTAGTTATTCTTTATATAAAATAAATAAACTATACTATATATAAATAATTATAGTAGAGTAATTAACAATTAACCAAAACATTATAAAAAGACTATATTTTTCCTTAGTCTTAAAGAGAGAACAACTTGAACCATAGTATAGAAACCTTTAATTCTTATATTATTTTGTAATGTTTTTATAATTTCTCTAATAAAATATAATTTTATTATATTTTTATTTATATATTTTTATTGAAATTTATTTTTATATATTGTTATCTTTTGATTTTAATATTAGGACAGAATTATGAAATTTAACTAAAATAATAATATTCAATTATTTATATTAATTTATTTAATATTGTTTGAAATATAATATATATTGAGTAAATCAAATTATTAAGAATTGAAAGTTATTTTTATCAGTAATTTTAAAGTCTATCAAATAAGAGACTGAAAGTTTCAATATATTAAATTATGAATTTTTATTTTTATTTTTATTTTTATTAATATTTCTTTAAATCTTTTCTTTTCTTTTTTTTTATATTCTATTTCTATTTTCTTGTATTTTATAGAAATATACTGTTTACTATGAATTTAAATTGATATATTTTTCATTTTGCTCTCTTAAGGCAATAATAATATAGTTGGATAAATTAGGTAAATATATAAATTATTATTAGAAATAATCAATAGGTAATATTAATTATATATATATAGAATATATAAAAATATTTAACCAATTATATGTAATTCTATATATAAAAGATACTTAATATTTTTTTAAATACTATATATTAATAAAAATATTTATTGATATATATTTATCTTAAAAAATAAAAATAATTTATTTTATTTAATTTATTTGTTTTTTTTTTTAGATTAATAAATAATATAAAATAAAAATACTTAATTTATTTATTTTTTTTTTTTAGATCAATAAATTAAATTAAATTAAATTTTCAAAAAAATTATCAAAAAAAAATAGTTTTTTTATATAGAAAAAAAAATCATACTAAATAAATAATTTTATTTAAATTAAAATATATTAATAAATATTTTTGATTAATAATAAAATAATAAAAATTAAATAGGTTTTCTGATTACAAATAATTAAATTAAATATTAAATTAAAAGAAATTTTATTAATATAAAATTTTTTTTATAAAAACTTTTTTTCAAATTTCAAATTTTACTATATATATTTTAAGAAAAAAAAATTTTTCTTCCTTAATAAAAGTTTAATACTTTTATAAGCTATAAAATATAATAATAATAAATTGGTTTTCTTTATATAAATTATAATATTATATTAAAAACTATTTATTTTAAATTCTTATTTAAATTTTTATTATTCCTTAAACTGTATTGTAGGCAAATTTGTCTACAATTTTATTTGTAACAAAATCATTTTATATCTTCTAATGCATGTTACTTTTTAATCATACATTCTTTTATTATGTATTTTAACTCATTTAAATCTCCAGAACAAGGTTAATCTTTTTTCTTAATGGTCAAAGTATAAATAATATAATAATATTCTTCTCAAAAATGCATTATAAAAATAAGTATCAAAATTTGCCAAAAATTGGCCTACAGATTAAGGGATAATGTAATATTAAATATTGACATAATATAAATTTTATTTTCGAATATAAATATAAAAAGTAAATTATAAACTAATTTTTTAAACAAATTATCTTAAATTTACTGTATGTTAATGAAAAGCCGATGTACTGTACATTACAAGAAATCCCGTTTTTTTTTATTAAATATTGATCACAATCTATTTTGGGATCTGAGTGTTGTAACTCATACGCGATAAAGAGTACCATGTCTAAAAAGTAAAACGGTCAATACTAGAACTATCCATCCAACAAAAGTAAGTAATTTAATTCTTTTTCAATTTGTAAAAAAATGTTTAAAGGAACAAACAAAGTGTGTTTGTGTATCGTGTATTGGAAGAATCAGCAAGAAATAACTTTAATTCAAAATAACTTTAATATCTATCGATTTTTTTATTATTTTGATGAATTTTCTTGCAATATCAAAGTCTTAAACTCTGCTGTTTGAGGCACTTCAATAATCATACATAATGTATTGAGGTGTTATAGGTATGCAAGAGTACAAACAAAGAGAAAATAATTGATGCGAAGAGAAAAATAGACTTGTGATTAAAACAAACTTTTTTTTTTTTTTATATTTTGATGAAATACAGACATTACATATAGGTTTGCAAAAGATGAAATTCTTTCCAATCCCAAATCTCATTATTTTCGTGCGTACATTTCTTTCGGTTATTGTTTAATAAATTTCTGCGTTCGTTAGTCAACAAAAAATGAAGGTGGTGGCATTAATAAGTGGTGGTAAAGATAGTTGCTTTAATATGCTACACTGCATAGCAAATAATCATCAAATTATCGCTTTGGCTAATTTGAGACCAAGCGCGAGTTCGGACAAAGGTTGGTTCACATTTTAAACAATTTTTAATTTTTTTACGCGCATTCACCTGCTAGTTACTTAACATTGCATTTTCTAATTGTTTTTTTTTTTTATAATTTAAAATTTAGATGAACTTGATAGTTTTATGTATCAGACAGTTGGCCATGACGCGATTGAATATTATTCAGAATGCATGAATTTGCCTTTGTATCGACGCGAAATTTTTGGTAGTCCTTTAATTCAAGATTATGATTACCGAGAGACTCCGGGCGATGAAACCGAAGATTTGTTTTTATTATTGAAGCAAGTTAAGGTAACAAAAAATCCAAAGGGTAGAAATTTTGCAGCGTTTTGATTTGTATGCAAACTCAATTAATACTTGGTGTTTTAGGAAAGTCATCCAGAAATCGAAGGAGTCTCTGCTGGTGCTATATTATCAAATTATCAACGTGTTCGCGTGGAAAATGTGTATGTAATCTTCATATTCTCATCAACAATTATTATGGGTGCTCTCTCTTATTATTATCCATCTTTTTCTTTTCGCATTTTCAATTCTATGCTTAAAAAAAAAAAAGCTGCAATCGCCTTGGACTCATGTCTCTTGCCTACCTTTGGCGAAGAGATCAAAAAGAGTTATTGAGTGAGATGATAAGTTCTGGAATTAATGCTATATTGATTAAAGTAGCTGCTATTGGTAATGTGATAAATTTAATCGACTTGCTGAAGAAACCATTTATCGAAAAAGCTTATTGACGATGCACTTTTCTTTTTCTTATCGACTGTTTAGGTCTAAAACCGACACATTTAGGAAAATCCATTGAGGAGATGTACTCGCATTTGTGCAATTTGGTTGGTTTTTATGTTTTCTGAACTAACTGGAATGGAATGGTCGATCGGTGACATTTAACCAAAAAATTATACCTTCAATAGAACGAAAAATATGATGTTCACATCTGTGGTGAAGGTGGTGAATATGAAACGTTCACGTTGGATTGTCCATTATTTGTTAAGAAGATTATCGTGTAAATGTTAATTTCCTGGATCATTTACACATACATATGAATTGTCTCAGCAAAGTATTCAGAGGAGTATATATTAATTTATGTAATTATCATTATTATTTCTTTTTTTATGTAGACATGATGTCGAAACGGTGCTCCATTCTGATAATGCTGTTGCAACGGTTGCATACCTCCGGTTTAAGATGTTGACTTTAGAAGATAAGCCTGTAAGCACTATTGCGACAACTCCGATAATTAAAATACCATCGTGGCAGGATGATATTAACGAATTTATGAGTGCAACGCAAGGTTGGGTATGTTGATGTTTGCAGATTATACTTTAACAGTTAAAGCTGATGCATTT